ATAAGGTGTCACAGCAATGCTAACATATGCAATGGATCTGACTGACTGCTCATATAAGCTGTGTGCGTGTAAGTGCTAAACGGCACAACTGCACGTAATATTTCTAAGGGAATGCATTTATGAATTTGTGTATATGCATGGGCTGATGCATAAGCTGGTGGCCGTTAATTATCGGAGGATCTCGACTCTAGTTAAGTTGTCACAGCAATGCTAGCATATGCAATAGAGCTGATTGACTACTCATATAGTCTGCGTGCCGTAAGTATGAGATCAGCGCCACGGCACTTAATATTTGAAAGGGGATATATATATTTTTATTTATATGTAATATAGCTAATGGAATGCTTATGTAACCGGATGGCGGGTAATTATCTGAGGATCATAACTCTTCGGAAGTTGTCGCGGCGATGTTAACATATGCAGTACAGCTTCCTGATAGCTCATTTAGTCTGGGAGCCCTAAGTATGAGATCATCGGCACTGCACTTATTATTTAAAATGGAATATATATATATATATATTTATTTATACGCAATACAGCTTAAGGAACCCTGATGTAACCTGATGGCCGGTAATTATCAGAGGATCGCAAGTCTAATTAAGTTGTTGCAGGGATGCTAACATATGCAGTAGAGCTGACTGACTGCTCATTTACAGCAATGCTTCTATATGTGACTGTACTGATTGTCTACTCTAATAAGCTGGCGGGTGGCAAGTACTAGATGTTCCCGACTTCACTGAAGATATAAAATACGTCCTATCGTAGGCAATGGAGGTAAATGACAACACATATGAGCTACACGCCCGTAATTGTTACATGTTGCCGGCTGCACAGAATGTGTCACAGCCTAGCCTTTGGTCCACTTAACCCTCAGTCTTTCCTCAAATCCTTAACGCCTACAGAGCATTTGTATGTTTATTACTCCAACATCCCCGCTATTATACTGAAGTTTGTGGTGAGGCCACCAAAACGGTTCTCACATTGTCATGCAATTCACTTTTCGCAATAATTTTTCTCCCACGGGGCTTCCGTATCCACGTAATGCTATTTTGTAGTCAACCGTTGTTCCATAAGGAATAGAGCTACCGGACTAGCGCATACACTGGGCGCCAGTAATTATGAGATGTCATCAGCTAGATAGAATGTGTCACGGCAGTGCTACCGTATGCAATGGAGCTAATGGACTGTATACATAAGCAGGCCGCCGTTAAGCAATGGATGTTTCCGGGTTCGGAATAAGAAGTCACAGCGATGCTACCATATGCAGTCAACTTAAAGGACTGCTCAGTTTTGTTCGCCGCTGTTAAGTATCGTACGCTCATGGCTCAACGGAAAATGTGACAGCAATGCCTCCATGTGCGATGGAGCTAAGTCGTCAATGATATAAGCTTGCGGCGGGTAGTTATTACGTAATCCGGACTGCACTTAAGACGTCCCAGGCATGCTACGATATGCTATAGAGGTAAATATCAACTCATATAACGTGGACGCCAGTAATTTATCGATGTTCCCGATTGCACTTAGAATATCACAGCGATGCTGACATATGCTATGCATGTCACTGACTACTCACATGAGCTCGCCACTCTTAAGTGTGAGAGGTTCCTGTCCGCACGAAAGACTGTACTGTACTGACTGACTGCTCTAATAACCTGGCGGTCGGTACATATTATGAGTTCCCGACCCCATTGACGAAGTGAAAGGCATGCTACCATAGGCAATGTTGCTATCGGACTACATATATAACGTTGACCACGGTCATTAATAAATGTTGCCCAGTCCGTAGCTTGCGTAACAGCCGTGTAAGCACATGCCGTGGAGTTAAGTAACTACTCACTAAGCAGACCACTAGCAAAGAAACGCTTTCGCCGGTTCCACCGCATTTGCAACAGCAATACATTGTCCATATAATCAGAGATGAAGGTGCATGTTACACAGGGAAGTGTTGTTCAGGCCCATTCAAAGTGCTCACGCTGTTGTTGAGGACAGTATAGGTTTGTCGCGTTAACACAGTGGGTCACTGAGGTGCGGGCTATATTCCATGCAATGGCAATAGAAATGGGAAATGATCACTGAACGTACCTGCTGACGGGTTCCATTCTTGCCGTTTCCAGAAGACAGCTGCGAGGGAGCATGAAAAGACATGGGGATAAAAAGGGCGAGGGTTATTATGTGTCCATACGTACCACAGTACGAACATGACTTACCCTTGCCTGTGTCACTCCATGGTGGAGGCTGGCATACAAAATAAACTGCCACTGAGAATGGAGCTCTGTTGTCATGGATAACCAAGGACGCATAATCGTCGTTCGTAGAGCCACCCACTAGGTTGCCATGCGGTATGCACCAAGTAGTATCCCGCGGCTGCCAAGTAGCGTGGGTTACCATCCGGGGGAGTCATGCCGCTGCAGCGCCAGAGGGTGGCCCTAAAAAGGGCCGGTTTCTGGTTCTCAGTGGCATGGAAGAAGAGGAATTGGATTATAAAGGGTGAACTCACATGCAAAAGACGCACGTATAGTGCTCTTGGTCTCCGGTGTATGCGGCACATACCTAATGAAACCACCGGTTGCATTTGCAGCACATCACCCAGTTTACCCTGTATCCGCCGGTTCTCCGTCCGTCCTCCGTATCGCAAATGATGCAGGCGTTTTCGTTGTTGTTTGCAGGTTGTATATTCTCAGACCTGGCGCGATTAGTCACCGTTTTGCAAACTGCGGAGGTGACAGTCGGCATGCGTCGGAAGTGCTGGGGGTGCGTATCGGTTGACAGTTGCGGGGCTTCCATCAACCTAGGTGAACGCGACTGCTTCCTTTTTGTTGCCTTGGGTCTGCGGTTAACATCCAGCTACTCGCACAATGTATGCGCATGGCATATCCCATTTCCAAAGGAAACTGCAATCACAGGCCATCTCATTACCCATAACAACTGTGTGCTTTCGGTCTACCTTGGCTAATACGTCAAACCCAGTGCCGTTCGGCCGTATTGAGGTGCCCGTCTCTGACGAAATGTGCCGCATAAATATGGCAGCAACATAAGTAGAAAGGCAGGCAACCAACTCCCGCACCTTCCCGGTTGCCGGAATGGTGCGCGATTTCGACATCCGCAATTTGCCCAGTGACGTGGTCCAACGTGATTCCGCATCGTGTGCTCTAAGTACAACTGCCTTAAAAAGTTGCAACAGCGATATCCTTTCGCTTAATCCGCACTTGAGGTGCTTATTTTCGTTTTCCACTCTGTTTGTGGTAAACGCACTCAAAGTTCGCACATCGCGCAACCGGTGGTACGTCCAACTTCTTGCAAAGGGATACCACCTACGACTGAGGTAAGTGAATGCCTCTTTGCTTCTAACACTTATCGCTCTGAGCAGCATCTTAAATGGCAATTCCGTCTTCGTGTACACTAATCGGTGCATCCACTGCTTAAGCAGAACTCTGTCCGCCTTCTTCACTTTTGACAAACACTGGCATCTGCGTGAAACGTCCCGCAGGAAATGAAAGCTGCATAATACTACCGTGCTCCGTGCATATACTGACTTGAATGCCTTCATTTGACCCAGGCACCTATCCATGACTATAGTCTTCGCTGACAAGGTGGTGGGCAACATTTCCGACGTGCCCCGAGCAACCTCCAGGTAACTGCATGCTGTCTCGTTGGGCATTAAAGCGTAAAACACGCTGCGACCTACGCCGAAACCGTCTATCACCATGCAGTGCCACAGAACATAACCACCGCAGTTCACCTGATGCGTCGCATCCGCAAGAAGTACGTCACCGTATCTCGCCGCTATGGAAGTCATTGAAGCAGGAACGAAAAATAAGAATCGCACTTGTGACCCATCTCTTTCGACACACACAGCGCCGTTCTTACTCAACAAGTCCACTACCACGTTTACATCATTCCCATTAGATGCCCCACCTAAGCAATGGCGGATGGAAAATAGGTCCTGTCGATTCAGTCGTTTGTTATACCTTTCCAGGACATAGTCTCGCAATTCTCCGGTATTACGGAAGGACTGCACTAAAGCAAACACTTGCCGCTCCGCCTCGGGAGTCAGACGCCGGTTACCCACGTATAAACTTGGATTCCCCAAGTGAAAATTATGATTATGCACCAGACAATGCGGGCCTGTCTCATAGTAAATGCCCTTAGCACTGATGGATACGCTCGCTTTACAACCGAGGCTGACGTACCTATGACACATGAATTACGCATAAAAAACTTTCGCACTTACCGACTGCCACCGTCTCCTTTCCGGGTGCAATGGACACAACGATATTGTACCCATTTGTAACGCATCCCATCGCTTAGATCTTGACCGGACCAAATCATATAAGACGCAGCGGTCAAAACGCCATATTTGTAAAAACTGGTCACCGTCTGAAGTTGAAACCGCTTCAAATCTTCCTCGAATTCACCAAATGTCTTATAATATAGGCGAAAAGCAGCGCGGAAAGCAGGAGTATCATCCACAGCCATTGCAGCGAAACCGAAACAACACCTGCGCACTAAAACGAACACCATCTCGTACACCGTAAAAAATGCACCAACGCTTTCAGTTCCCCTAAATCAATACACCATTATTAAACCCTTATCAGGCCTTAACAACGTACTTCATACCATTCATCCCCATCAGACAGGACAGCAAACAGTACCGCCCCCAAAATATGATCAGCTGTTTTCGATTAATCCGACGCTCAATGGTCAGGTTGATTGACACTGTTTGCACTGTACGCTTCATTCAATATAATAAAACAATGTAGCTTTACAGCCCGGTTGTAGACAGACTTTCTGCAAAGCCTTGATTTTATAATCGCAAGGTATGCAACCACACAAATCGGCCTGGACAGTTAGTTCCGCTGACTAAAAAAACAACAAAAAAATCGTTAAAGTACAAAGAAATTAAAAGAGATAAGAGCTAACATATAATCCATTACTATTTTTTAAAACATATTGGTGTTGCTTTTAATAGTTCACGCAACGCGAAGACCGAAAAGGTTTCCGACCCCGCGATCTTCGGTCATAATTTTTAAACCGCCGTTGTCCCTTCTTGGGTATAACTACTTTTTTATAAATCCTGTTCTGCTTCAGTCACTCTTTGTTTACGTAAGCACTTTTCGTAATGAACGGGTGGTCTTGTGGCCATTAAGCATGCGTTGGATAGGCTCTGGGAAAACTCTTCCTTATGGTTGATACCCACAAATGGGGCCAAGTGCTGTTCTCCGAATCGGAGCTGCTAATCCTCTCACCTGATATGCTGTCGGCGGTGGTGAACGCCATGTTGTCACTCGGAAGTTTGATTTAGCGGTCGTAGACTCGTTAACACTTCGTTCTGGCGACGAACGGGAGAGGACTGCATGTCGGGGGTTTCGTATGTTGTGGTTTATTCGCCCCTCCTTCTGAGTCCTAACGGTCAATTTTGTGAAGATATTCTCGGCATTCCTCAGACCCCACCCGGAGTATTGCATTCAGACTTGTGTGCCATCTTATCCGAGACAAAATGGACTTAGAGAGGGTGTTACGAGTGGGCACTCGGTAAGTGCAGAGTCTACGGGGACGCGTATCCTGAACGGCTACTCATTTTGGGGATCTACTCAATGCACTACCGAAGGATAAGAGGGGACCTGATTCACACTTATCCTATTTTGACTGGTAGGATTGGCCCGGACTTTTCAGGGCTATTTAGTCCCGCTCCGCGGTCACCCACTAAAACTGCATAAACCACGGTTTGTCCCGCCGTTTTAGATCTTTTGGATTCGCTACCAGATCACGTGGTTAGGGAACCTACGGTTAAGCGTTTTGCACGCCTGCTCGATGCTGTTGGGTGGCAACACCAAACCTTTCCTCTTTCCTAACTGACTCACCTACACTTTTCGGTTCTTTTCTTCATGACTCAAGTATCTTGGTACTCTACTTGCTTCCTCTTTCCACTTTCTTTTTTTGCCTTCTGAGTTTACTTTTTTCTCTTCACGTAACCGGCCCAGCAAGCACTGCTAGGGCAGGATACGTGGGTCATAACTGGTTGGACAGGGTGTGATGCAGTCTTTATTTTCGGTCCATCAGTATTTCAAAATCTGCCAACTCCTGGTTCAACGACCCGCTGAAGAAGGAACACTCACGGCATGATCCTATCGTTCCAGTCTCGATTGAACTTGAACTCAAATGGTATTTTGTCGTTTTTTTCACTACGTTGCTTTCATTTTCAAGACCAAAAGTTTGACATTTTTATTGTTTGCTATTGGGCTATGTCGAGTCGCTAACCTTTACTTTCACTCATAATTCTTGCGTTCGTTGGTTTACTACGTGGCCTTCGTCTGATTCAATGTTTCAAGTTCTGTGCCGAATAAGTACAGTAGTTTCTGGATGACGGATGATTTTTCAAAGTTTATGGGGTATTATCTTCAGCAGTCGATTAGGACTTACTGCCGTGTGATCTTGGCAGATATTCTCCTTTCCCTTAATAATTTGTCACTATACTTGGCCAACTCCTAATTACTTCCCAACTAGAACTATCGAACTGTCAGTAGCCCGCCTTACACCATCAGCCGAATGAAGTCCGATGGAATGACCGTCTTTTACATTCATGGCCGTCGCGGAGCAACTCATTCGAGGCGAATTCTAGTCACTCGGAAATGATCTTTTCGCTATAGTGTTAACATGCTGTGAATGTTTTTCTGGCTGCAAATTCCGTCTAGATTAATCGGAGCTCGATTCTAGTATCGTAATTCCACATTACCAAGGTCATAAGACTACACCGAAAAGCTTTTTGATTGACCGAATTTCGTCACTGCGACTTTGTTAGCATCAGTGTCCGACCGGCACACGCTGTCAGATGGCCGTTCAATGGGTTAAGGAGGAACGCCTGATGGGCGTTCGTGCGACAACAAATTGTATCACCCATCGGACGCTCCCTGATAGAAATCGAGCGACACTGCCCTTCGGACCTCAGCTTTCCCCCAGTTTCCCCCATATAAGGAAAAACTAGCCTCATTGCGACCAGTCGTTATTGTAATTCCACACGTCTGACTATATACAATAACGTAGCGACGACACTGGGTATTACAGAGCATGTAATTTTCAGACCAGGATCTTGCAGCGCGGACCGTTTTGTCTCCAATGTAGTCACGTTTTCCGCTCTTTACTAGCTTGTATTTTACTGCGTCTGTAGAGATACTGGCATTTTACGACCGTCTGATGAGTGTCCGGCATCGGGCACTGGAGTGACCGATGGTGCTAATAGGGGGCAGCCAGGAGCATAAAAGCGGTCATTCATGGCGCTCAGACAGCCACTCGCGCTTAGTGAGAGTACGATTTTATTAAAAGCAAAGGCTTTAGTTAAAAACCGGTAATGTTAATGATACATAACCAAGTTTAACGGCAAATCTGGGCACATTACGCCATTTTCTTCTTTGTTTTTGCCTCCGCGTGGAACCGAAGCCACACCCAAATGGGACGGCTGGCCGTCTATCTGTGGAAACGGGGAGTCCGCTGACAGTCCGTCTTGGGCTTACTGTCTTTTATCTAAAATATATATGTCAGCTTATACGCCGTAACGGCGCTTCGCTGCCGCGCAACTACCACCAGTCGCGCGCGGGCTGAGTATACCGCGAGTACGCCCACCCCTACTGTCTTATGTTGTATACCATAACCGCAACGAGTAACTATTTCATGCGAAAATGTAACTTAACTGCCATCGATTTCTTTGTTTACCGAATGTCTCTTAACGAAATTCTTTGAGTCCATTATATTCGCAACGCGACAGGTGAAGCCCTTTCTCATCCCTATTATACACCTTAGAGGTGGAAAACACCAGCTACTATGCCCCAATACAAAAGGAAGAAAAAACATGCAACATGAGCTACCAGTAACGGATGAGCACCGTTCCGGATAGCTACCAGTCGGCTATTGTGCAGCAAAGAAGCCTTATTATGTAAAACTATATTCTGCAGAGAAATAAGCTGGTTGTGTGAGTCTAAGAGAGAAGCGGTGGGACTAAGAAACACAGCATGAACGCCATTGAGGTCAGCTCCTAGCCATGTCATCAAGTGTATCCAGCCAGACATGTTCATCGCCTTTCGTGCCCCAAACAGGGAGCCGAAACGCTCCAACCGAGGCCAGCTTCGAAGTGAGGGCCTTCATTCCGCTCGACCGAGTCATCGCTTGGCCGCCTCTCCTCTTCCACCCACACTCCTAGCGCGCAAATAACGCACATCACGCGTGCCGGTGGGCTGACGTGCGTAATACGTGGCCGAGCCATCAGAGCTTGGTGCGTGAAATGACGGTGCTGAACGGTTCATCTCCCTTTCCTGTGCCGTAAACAAGGCGTCGAACACGCTCGTTGCTCACGCGGTGTTCTCAACAGATCTGAACCAAACTGCAAAGGGGCCGGTGGTCGATAGGATAATGTAAAGCAATGCGTTGGGATCACAAAGCAAGGGTTAGGGAATAGTTGCGAAGAACTAGCAGTCCGTAGGTCCTTCACTTGCGCATTTTATCGGACTCGGCAGATTGTCAGAGGACTTTCATCTGAGGTGTACTGCATTACAGATGCGTCGATCACGCTTATAAACTGAATTTCGCTTATGGATCAGGTTTCTCATGTTGCTTTTGCTCATCGCCTGATACGTATTCGGAACCGTGTACTCAGTCCAGTTTTTCTTGCTCATTATGTACAATGTTTTAACCAAGGAATTGGCGAACATATGCACACTTGTGCTTCATTGTGAATACCATGTTCGACATCCTCTCGTCGCATGTTATGACTGAATTAGCGGCTTTGAGGGACCGAGACACTTAACTTCTTGCTCGTTTGGGGTTTCTAGCTCCGTAACCTATGACGTGCTAAACGACCGAAATTGCGCCTTTACACAAACCGAAATTCTGCATTGGGCATTACTGTTTTTACTCTCTTTATCGACGTATATATATGTATATATGTATATGTATATATATATGTATATATATATATACGTCGATAAAGAGTAAAAACAGTAATGCCCAATGCAGAATTTCGGTTTGTGTAAAGTCGCAATATATATACAGTGGAATGAAGTTTATCCAGCTTAAAAAGACCTAGTTTGTGTAAGTTTTTTTTAGCACAACTGCGGTGAAGAAGCATCAAGAATCCAACATCAGCCTCAGCATGGGATACGATCAATATATATATATATATATATATATATATATATATATATATATATTGATCGTATCCCATGCTGAGGCTGATGTTGGATTCTTGATGCTTCTTCACCGCAGTTGTGCTAAACCAACTTACACTTAAACTAGGTCTTTTTAAGCTGGATAAACTTCATTCCACTTTATTTGGTTTGTTCTGCCTACACGAATAATGTTCTATTATCTGGCCACGTTGCTAACGCTAATTACGCTTATCTTCGGTAATTTTGTTGCGTTTGTAGCATTTTTGAGTAACTTGTGAACATTTCTTACTTATCGCGGATTCGTTGCTAATCAACTTACTTCATATGGTAATTTAAGGAAGAGTTATGCCACCGTATCTGTATGCATTATTGGATTTATTTTATTTCAGCTTGTCTTTCCAGGTTATTGGCTGTTGCCTGATATCCCCGGTGTGGCTGCGCCTGATGTGCATGTTGACAATGTGCCTACCTGTCTATTACCCACTACCTCGTTCATACTGGCTCCAGGAGACAGTTGGTCGTTGCTGGAGGGGACGGGGTGCACGGTCCTTGTGGCCGTGCTAGGCTCAAAGAGCGGTTCCATGCACTCAGTGTGGAGCGGAGTACGGTCCAGCCACCGCCTTGTGTGCGCTTGATTCCCCAAATACAGTGTGCTTGTGTTTGCCTGTGAAGGAGTGTGGGCCGGCTCCGTTGATGAAACGTGGCTCCCATCCACATGCCTCCCGGTCTTATTCCTCTGGGTTTACACTGGATATGGGGTGTGTGGATGGAGCTGTGGGTGGTGCAGCGCAAGCCACCCAAGGTCCCTCTGTAGGCGCAGTCGTCCTGTGGCTGGCCACAGTGACAGGCAAATCCGAGACCGGATGCTGCCAACCATATATTGATCACTACCTGTGTACAGATATTATACCATCGAAACCATGGCGGAATAGCGAAACAAGGTTAGATTAAATGAACAAAGAAAGAAAACAAGTCAATCTTTTGTTCATATTCCAACTCGCAGGTTTTGAGTTTTTTGCTGTTTTTTGGGGGGAGGGAAGGGGATGATCCATCCATGGTTCGTCAGTGGGCTATATACTATTCGGTTGCCCAGGCTGATTTAGAGGGTTATCTTAGGGGGCCCCACTCCGAGCCTTTGATCCAGGCTCTTACCACGACAGCAGAGCGATATGAGGTTATCACAACCCGTTGGGAGCCGATGACCAACCAAGTGGTTCACACGTCTTTTGGACGTCATAGGACCAGGGGCCTAACACACTCTTGGATTACAATGCCCCTCAGGAGGCAAGGGGCAGTGACTTTTTTACTGGCGAGTCACATCCGCCACGTCACAGTGTTGTTAAACGGACAAATATGGCATTTTATTTGGAAAACGTTTGCTAGGCGAAAACCCGCCACATTCTGGAACACTGCTGCCGAACCATTCGCTGGAACGGGATAATCCCGGACCACCCAGTTTACACCACAAGGAGGTTGTTCGGCAGGCCGGCCAGATTGTAATGTTATTCTCCTAATACACTGTTTCTGACTGTGGAGCTGCAACACGTAATAACTTCTCCACGTGCAGTTGGGTGCCCATAACACGTTCACCTGGTGAAAATAGGACTAGAGGCCTGAAGTAAACGCATGAGGGCACGAGAAATAGTGCCGGAGGGAAACGAGGCGGCAGTTTTAAGTGGAAACAGCAACGCTATTCAAAACGACCCTCATCGACCTCTTTTATTGTCACGGAAATGTCATCTGATCAGCTACGTAACATACTTGCAAGTCATGGTTTTCTATACTTTTTATGACATGGTGCCATAACCAAAGCTGTAATTCAAATTGTTGCCCATAATGTTAGATATTATAATTTTAGCTAGAAAGAAGGTCGTAGACATGGCGGACGCGGAACTCATCTCATTACTGGATCAAGCTGCCAACAGGCTCCGTATAAATTCTATCAAAGCCACAAATGCTGCGGGCAGTGGGTAATTTCATTTAAATTCTACTGATTCTCGAGACATCCATCCTCATGTTCTTCTCTGGCTGAAATAGTTGCGGTTTTGTTCCTGAAGGAGATGAAACTTAAACCCGCCGATCCGCGAAATCCCTCGAGCGACCGATTTGTCCTTTCCAAGGTATTTCTGCCTTATGAGTACCATCTTTCAGGGTCATGCGGCTCCGATCCTGTACGCCGCTTGGTTCGAATTGGGAGTTTTGACGGAGCAAGATCTCCTTACCTTAAGAAAGTTGTCATCAGATCTCGAAGGCCACCCTACTCCGGTACCTTTTCGATAGTGTTTTTAATACTTCTAGAGATTGAATTTTGTAGACGTCGCAACTGGGTCCCTGGGACAAGGCTTAAGCAATGCAGCCGGTATGGCATACGTTGGAAAGTATATCGACAAAGCTGCATATCGAGTTTATTGCATTATCGGTGACGGAGAGTCGGCTGAAGGCAGTGTGTGGGAGGCTATGGCTTTTGCTTCCCACTACAAACTGGACAATCTTGTTATGATTTTGGATGTTAATCGCCTTGGCCAAAGTCAACCTACAATGCTGGGCCACGATTTGGAAACATATCGCAAGCGCGCAGACGCTTTCGGGTACGTGTTTAGCTACATTTTCAATTCACTAAAAGGTTTTTGATTAATCTACGAATCACTCCTATCAGGACATGCTTTTTCTTCAGTGGAATAAGACCTATGTGCTTCATTGGATAGTATGATCCTATTTCCCTCTTAATTTCTTATTTTCTTTAACTTGTCGGACTGGCTATCAGAGCTTGGTTGATGCAGACCTTTTGCAACCTGTTGCACTTTCGGTAGTGATGCTGGAGTCCAAATACACAGAGTTTAGTCTACCTGTTTATTCCTCTCTCGTTTAATTACTACACTTTATGTTGTCCATTGCGATATGGCTGGAATTAGGTCATGAATGTTGATTTACCTTCTCATTGACTCGTAGAGCCACACTGGTTGGTGTCTTCCCTGCGTACCTTGGTCCATTGATATTAATCAGGCAGGCGATCAGCCATTTGTTGTAACCGTTAGTTTATATGGCCATCTTGAGTAAAGTAGATTATAAGCGTTGTGACCACGTTTGATCTTGAGAAGGCATTACGTTTGCACCCTGGTTCACTGCCACCAGCCACAAGGCCGACGGCACCCAACCAATGAAGTACTGTCTCGCAATAGCTAGCCTGCTGTTGGCCGCGATTTCGAACTCATCACTTAATTGAATTGTAAGATATACAAGTCATTCTGCATCTAAATCTACTAGTTGGCCCCTAGCCTAAAGCTAACGAGCCTGCCTTCTAGTCTGTCGGCACGGGTTCCAGCCTGCGTACGGGAAGAGCGACCCTTGCAGTATCCTTAGCCCACCTGCGACCGATGGTGTTTGCGCGGCAGCATAGCGTTGGTACCGCGTACCGGCGTCCTGCTGATACCTTTCCTTTTTCTTTCCTTCCCTTAATCTACTTGCGATTGGTCCCACATAGATTACACTGCTCAACCGATTTTTACGCGGCTCATGTTATCGGAATGAAATTGGTCATTTGTGATTGCAATTTCTTACCTCGAGTATGACAGTCAACTGGCAACGTTGGTTCCAGTTTTTGTTGTTTGCATTAAGCTGTTGTTTCCTTAAAGAAAACAACAGCTATCCGGGAGCGCCTCTGGGTGCCCAGCTGCAGTCAGCTGGCAATGTAGTGAACTATTTTCTCTATTTTTTTCATTGCTGCGATATCTAGATGTAAATATTCACCATTGTTTGGGCCTAAACCAAGGTGGAACTGAAGGAAGTAGATCATTATAAATTGGTTTCAGCCGACATTCTGGTATTACAGTAACATGTGTTCTACAAGCTCTATGCTTTTCCGCCTTAACACTCACGCAAGTTATCAGACCCTTGGCGAAAAACATTTCATGATTGTTTTGCATCATTTTGCAGCAAATTGTTGAACCAATCATCTTCAGAGAGCTCTCAGATCTGATGATCCGTGAAACTCCGTTATCTTCACTTCGTTTGGTCTAGAGAAGTTTATCATGTAGGTGTTGCAAAAATGCCTATGTCCAATCCATTATTTTCACAGTTTTTCATCGAACCTAATCCAATGTGAAAGTGCGAGCAGAATTTCGTGAATCGCGATGAGAACCGGATGCTGATTTTTTCACTTTAACTGTTCCATTTTGTGTACGAGTCCATTACTTTCACCTGTGGCGTAATTCTTGCTCAGCTATCCTACTGACCCTTTAAGGAGTCACAAAAGTTGACTTGCAGCGCGTGGTGACGTCACTGACGCCCATACTGAATGCCGTCGGTCCGTCTCACCTCTCACGCCGGAGTCCACGTGACCCGCCTTATGCTTGGCTCGAGACTTTACAGGACCTAGCCCGTAGTCGGCACCAGTGTCGCGTCTGTTGCCGTCTCCCAATCGGACTGCATGTTTAATGCTGAGTTATGTGCGGCGTCATGGTTGGTTATGATGCGGGGCAGTGAGATCCGCAAGGAAACTGTCTGTCTGATACCGCCTTACCTTTGTACGACGGTCAGCTGTTTGTGACAGTTTCTTGTTGACAAGGTGCAGGTGTCTTGACCCTGTATGTTTGCTTAGGGCATTAAGGTTTCTCGACAAATCCCCTTTCTCTCCCTCCTTTTATTCTACGTTCTGCAGGTCGTTGTGGTTGCATGACAGCTAGGCGTCTGATTAAATGGCTGATGTACTGCTGTTGGTGATGATCATGATTAAGGGGGCTTCTGCTTCCACTTCACTACGGAGGGGCTAATTGTACCAGTTTTACTCAGCGTAATGCAATTGTATGATAGCTGCTCTAAGTTATCGTGTGGACATTATCTGCCGCTGTTTCTAATGTCCAAAAGCACGACTTTAGCACTCAGTTTCCAAGAGGCCACGCGCACTTTCCACTCATGTGGGCCATGACTGGGTTTAGAACATTCTTGAAACCCTCACTATTGGAATTGAACGCCGGTTTACTTTTCTTTGTGAAGAAAGTATTTTACCGCTTAAGGCTGTCCGTGTATATTAATCGTGACATCTAGAATATTTGACAATTGGAGTCGTGATCCTAGTAATTATAGCTTACTGTTGGGTATACTTATAGCAAGAACCAGACCATGTTCTTTTTGTGCTAGCTTGTGCAAGTTCGATGCATCACGGGGAAAATTTGGATCTTTGCATGCTGATACAACCGAAGCAGAACAATTCGACCCACATTTCTTTTCACGAAGTGTGTTAGATTGTTTTGCTGAAGGTTCTGGGCTAAGAAGTCCCTCACTATGTCGTGTTCGTCTCATTGGAGACAGATAGGAGAAACCAGGCAGGGGTAACAATCATGTGGTTGCTCGACCATCTCTGCACCATGAGAACTGCGAACGGCATTGATGGCCTTTAACTGTTTAGCCATTGCAAAAGCTGTGTTACACGTATTTGACAGCATATATACGAGGTCCAACGCTTTCCTGGTCACAAAGAGTGCGTCTGTAGTACAGATTATGGCTTCTTCACTTCTTCACTTGGAATGGGATCCATTTTTCTGGTTGACAAGCATCAATTTCCTACAAATACAGTACAACGTGTATGCGGTAATAACGCACTTTTGAGGCATTACTGTCCTTTATTGTACCTGAAACCCGATTATAGGACCCTAGCAAGACGCTACGACTACTTTCACTTTCCATGAGTTCCGGTAGCACTTTCACGCTGCGCTTATCTGAAGACGCAACTGCCGAGACCGCTTTTCTTGCCGGCGTGGGGATTGCGTTGAGCACATGTGCTGAAGCCGCGCTACTAGACTGGATCCCTATCAACACTGGTCTGCACCATCCGACTTGAAACTTCAGTCCGACTATCCAGCCTCAGGGCCAGCAGACGTTATCTCTTCGTTGTAGCAGCGTATGCTCCCACAGATTGCGGCCCCGAGTTAGTTAAAGACGTGCCACTGTCAACTCTCCGACCTCTGAAAAAAGCACTGTACGGACATCCTGATGCCTGCTGGGGATGTAAACGCACATGTCAACAGACTTGCGTTTGACGAGCGCGAACATAGCCATGATACTCGAAGAACAGATAACGGTACTCTCCTACTTCAGCTTTGCTCCGATTACCTGTTCTTACTGTCGAGTAATAGCTTTCGGCGCTCCTAGGACCCTCATAACCTGGCCAGTCGTGGACGCAGATTGACCACATCACCATCAATCATCGTTGGCGGTGCTGCATCCAAAATTGCAAGTCAGTCTGGAGTACTCACCTCACTAGGAGTCACGCGCTTGTGTGTGCCAAGATTGCTTGGCGTTTTGTTACTTACCAACAGTGTCGCCGGAAACGACCTGACTTGACTGATATTTCTGCACAAGCTTTTACAACGCCTTTTGGGACGCGTTGACTTTAGATATCCAGAGCACCTCATGCCCAGAAGTTGAAGCGCAGTAAGTACATATCCGCAGCGCCACGCACAACTCTACGGCCCTGGTCTGTGGCTTCACCAGTAGTCTTGTCAACCACTATATCAGTGCAGATCTCCCCAGATCCAGAAGCTTGCATGGTGTATAGACGCTTCGTCATCATCTGAGACTGTGCTTGCTCATTACCTTCGCCTCCTAAAACGCTACAAAGCCCCTGGCCCAGATAAACTCCCCCCGGCTTTTTCAAAGATGTAGCCCATCCCTTACTCGGGAGTTGATTTTTCTCAAAGAGGCTTGGCTCACTGAAGCACTCCCGTCTGATTGGAGCCTAGCGGATATCATGTCCGTCTTCAAAAAGGGTGCACGGACAGAATGCGCTAACCACAGAGGCATTTGTTTCATTTACGTTGCATCAAAACTGATCGTTGTTGTGCTTTTTGGGAACACGGTCTGGTACGCGAAGAAAACCTACGCGAAGAGCAAACTGGGTTGCGCTCTAGCCGCTCCGCGAAATACTCGAGTGTCGTCAAATCTTCGGCCGCCCAACGATCGTTTTCTCAGACATACGAGCCGCGTTTGACTCATTTGACCGAGCTGCTCTCTGGAGTTGTCTTTTGAGAAGGGGAGTGCCCGCGAAGTATGTCAACCTTCTTCCAGTCATCTATCCTCAGCCCGAGTGCGGGTGTACGGCGGACTTCCGCCCCCTCTACTCTCACCAGTGGCGTGAAACAGGACTGTTCGGCATCACGCGGGAGAGCGCTCTAAAGCACTGTAAACCCAGCGACGTTGCACCGCTTCCGGGTGATGAACTTCGTCATCTGGGGTATGCAGACGACCGTCGCAATTTGCAATTCCTCACAGGCAGCCCAAAATGTGCTGTGTAGGTTGGAGGTGTTTCTTTTTTTGGTAGACCTTTGCTACATCGAAGTGTAAGGTCTTCCCACAAGACTAGCTAAGAGCTACGCCTACCCTTACTCTTTCATGTTGTTCTTCGGAAATGGTAGACAAATTTGTTTACTTCGGAACCTGCATCAGTGCTAACGGCTTATGGGTTGTGGTCTTTTTGCGCTTCTCTAAGGCCCGGGTTACTTTTGCTAATGTCTGCCATCTCTGAGGTTGATGTGACCTGAGTATCTCTCTGAAGGGCCGAGTCTACAATGCCGCGGTAAGAGCGGTCCTTCTC